TCCATTATTGTCTTCTTACTTTAAGAAATCTTCCCCCACCACTAGTGGATAATCCCTATAGCCCCTTTGTCTCAGTGTTCTCCCTCTATCACAAACTTTTTTTTTAGAACCCTTAATTAACACCAACTTGGACTTTTTTCTTACAACACTCTTGGCTCTAGTTCTCATCAAAACTTCCCAGCTTCTTTACCTCATCATTACTAGAAGTGTGTTTGAAGCTGGGAAGGGATTTTTAAAATGTAAAGGGAAAAATGAGCCACAAACACCGGCTGGCTTCTAAAATCCCAAAAAGTCTGGGGCTTCTTTATCAGTCAGGAAAAGCAAATATATTCACTCTTCACAAGTGCTAATCTTGCTTTCACTTCCATTATACCCAGGTTTAGACATTCCAAAGAAAGGCAAACAAACCCTTTAAAATTATAGGTCTTAAATACTGCACCTTATTCTTTTCTCCTTTATGTCAGTGTAAATCAGGAATAACTGATAAGATTGGTGGAATTACATTGGTGTAAAACTAGAGCAAGGACGTTCCAAACCCAATGGAACTACTCTGATATAACACCAGGGTAAGCGAGGGCTCTGGTGGATTATGGATCCAGTCTGATCATCTGTCTTCTCAGCAAATCATAAAACCCCATCTGCCTTCTTAAAATGCTCCTGCCATGTACTCCTGACTCGTTGCTCTGACAGTGCTACCACCTGCTCTCCATCCTGCACACTGACCCCAACATTTATCCTTGGATCATCATTGTCTATTTGCCCCTTCCAAATTCAGGGCCTGAATCCACTAGATTAATCCAAGGCTGAGTAAGAGCACAATCAAATCAATGGTGTTGCTCTGAATTAAACTGGACCACCCTGGTTTTACAATGATCTAATACGAATCTGCCCAAAAAAGTGACACGGGGTATAAATCAGTGCAGAATTTGGCTCCTGCATAGACAAAGACTGGAAAAATAAAGGATAGTGGAAAGTCAGCCTATCTTAGTGAAGTGGAAAGAATGAATTCTGGGGGAGGGAAAGAAAGAATGGAGCGGCAAAATTGCCCCCAAAATCCTCCTGTTATACAAAGAGAAACATTCAATACACTGAAGAGAATAGGTACAGAGCCCCCACCCCAAAGTTTCATAGCTACACAGATTTTTTTTTCTCATTACATGAAAACAACTAACCTCAGGCTGCAATCTAACCTTCACTCATATTCTTTCTGCCTGAGAGACACAATCGAATGAAACGAGCAGTTGAACATTTTCCCACTGGCTGCACTAGGGTAATATAAGGACAAGCTCTTTGATTGTCTTAAATATTAGTGAAGAGGTTGCTAATGAGCAATGTGGAGTGAACATATTTCTCATCTTGTTAAAAGGGACTTCCTTCAGTTTAGACCAAATTTAGGTCAATCCATCATGCACAAACGTTTTCACTTTTATTACCGAGAGCTGATAAACTCAGTCAGGATACAGAGGCTATAGTAAATATTATTTGTCTTAAAGAAAGAATTTGTACACCACTTTAGGCTTCATCTTGATTCCATTTGATGCTCTTGGCATTTTCTGGTTTAGAAGAATGCCGATGATTTGACACACGAGTTGTTTCTTCGCATTTTTTAAAGTGTCAAAATACAGCAAAAAGTACTGTGCACCATAGATCTGCTGGGCATGGAAGCTCGGCGTAGCTGGCTGTGCAGAGGCCTTCTATAGACATCTGAATTGTTATTTTTATTGGCATGTCAGCCTTTGCAACAGAAAATATATTGACCTGGTGCAATGATGGATTCATCCTTTCTGTTGACCAGCATTGAGACATCAAATTTAAATCTCTTGCTACTTCACACCCCTCATCTCACAGCATTTCATTGTTCAGATCTACCAACGCAATTTAGATTTTAATTTATCTAAACAATGGAGCTGATTCAAATTTTACCTACACATGTTTTACAGCTTCTGGCTTAGATTCTGGCCCCATTTAATGAAGTCAGTGGCAAAACTGCTATTAACTTTAATGTGGCCAGGAATTCATCTTCTGTATGTCAACTCCTGATTTACACTTGGGTTACTGATATCAAACTCAATAACTATGAGTTTTGTGGGGTGTAATGCACATTTTACAGGATGGCGCTGTTTGGGTAATATAATAAATAATAAAAACACTGAACTATAGCATATTCAATATACGTCTGCATGAAATATCTACATTTCCTATTTGCAAACATCATTGCTAAGAATGATTCAATTTAATCGTAAATTAAAATGCTTTATAGTAATTGACGTGTGCCACTATGCAATGTCTTGCAATGCAAACACTATTGTCAGGTAAACTATCTGATCTAATATGGGGAAGATCCTTGCCTTCTTTTTGTGGATGGCAGTGCAATGTCTACTGTACCTTTTTGAGATGGAAACCCAGTGCCAGCCTGAAATAAACACCACTGATGTTAAACATGGGACACAGAGAGAATTTTTCTATAATTTTAACTCATACAAAGGGTTCTCTGCTGCCAGGATAATTTAGTGACTGATCCTGCACCACTGATGTCAATCAGCATTTCCCTTTAAACTTCAGTGAAGGCAAGACATTAGTTCTGTTCTTGTACTTTTGCTGCCATCTACAGACCAATATGGGAAAATAATATGAGTGGGGATACAACATTTTATAATCTCTCTTTCTTTTCCCCTGCACAACCACTTTGGTACCTGCCATCAGACTCTGGGCTATATCCTATATGATTCTATTACATATTAAATTGCACAGATGAATGACACTTGAAACAGAGTGATCCTTTAAAACTTGTTCTAAGACAAACAATTCTCACATGTACAAGTATTTTATGTAATATTGTTGTAGCTGCACTGGTCCTAGGCTATTAGAGGGAAAAGGAAGATGTCCCTTTCATTGGGACAACCATCTTTCATTGGAACAACTTCTGCTGGTGTGAGAGACAAGCTTTAGATCTTACACAGTGCTCTTCTTCAGGTCTGGAAAATGTACTGAGTGTCACAACTAAATACAAGGCACAATGGATTGATTAGCATTAGTAGTTAACAGTTATTTCAAGAGTCATACAAGGAAAGCCAAATAAGATTTGGTGGAAGGGCATTTGTAGATTTTAATCCTCACTTTTTGATGCATGGACAGGGCGGCTGACAGACTTTCTAGGCTGGGCAAGGTGTGTGGGGCTGTCTCTGGACCCTTGGAAGGGGCGAGACCTCAGATGGAAGGGGCAGGGACTCCAACAGCCAGCTCTACAGCCCCACCCATTTCATGGGGCTCCAGCAGCAATTTGAAGGACCTGAGATTCCAGCTGCTGACATTGTTGCTGTAGCAGTGGCCAGGCACCCCGGTCGCTTTTTAATTGCTAGGCCTCAGGGCAGCTTCCCCCTTTACTTCCCCCTGGTGGTAGGGTTGCCAAATGGTTTCAACAAATACCGGACACACTTGACATGACATCACAATCTACATTACATCTTATTCAGAAAATACTGGATATTTATATTTTCTCATTTATATTTTCTCAATGTGTTTCCCGAACAGAAAGCTCAAATACAGAACTGTCCAGTTCAAAACCGGACACCTGGCAACACTACCTGGTGGGCCTATGCACGAGGCAAGTAGGCAGTTGTGACTACAGTTAAGAGGGAGATGCAGAATGGGATAAACTAAGGGGGGGAACAGGCTGAACTGAGGGGCATGTGGGGGCAGGGAGGCTGGCTGAAATTGTGGGGGGGGGCTTGTTGGAATGGGTTGGGGTTCTGGGACAGGCTGAACTAGGGGTAGATGGGTTGAATGGGAGGAGTGGATAAAGGACTGGATGAAGGAGTTTGAAAGGGACTGACCTGATGGGAAGACTGTATTGATTTGGAGATTAAGGGCAGAATTAATTGCTCTACAGGAGGTGAGGTTCCTACAGCTGGCAGCAAAAGCACCTTTTCCAAAACATTTGGGAGAATGGGCAACACAAATCGCTGCTGACACACACAGGGGTTGAACGTGGGCAGGGGATGTTAAAAATTCAAGGGTCCATCCCAATTTAATCTTTGAAAACAATTCTCATGATTTTGAGGGTCTGACTCATGATTTTTGAGTTGGCAGTACCACAAAATGCACAGAGAGACTTGATTTGTGATGGCAAATGATTCATGTTTGGGACCAGATCCATGACTACAACAGCATCAGATGCATCATCTCTCTTCTGCTATCATCTTGTAAGTGAGAGGCAGATGTGAGGGACAAACACTGTACTCAACCTCATGGTAAATAACAAGTGAGATTCCCCCTTTTACTGAATTTAGTAAGCAAAGGAATGATCTGGTCCTGGGATATTAAACTCAGAAATGTGCAAACTCTGTATGCTTAGTACACATTTTATAATTGTCATAAGCATTACTCTTTGAAGAAAAACATGATATATATTAAATATAATAACATGTTTAAAATATATTATTAAGGTTGTCATGCAAGCTACTAGGCAATGCAGAGTTAAAGAATTTTTTTTTTTCCTAATATCATGAATGGAATAAGGACAGGCTCATGTTATTCTTAAAATAGATCCTTGGCTTGTGTTTCACATTAACATTTTATACTGAATCGTTCACACACACAGATAAATTCTTGGCTAATAATGTGATGACATATCCTGCATAATCTAGTATTTCTCAAGGTGTGGGGTGTCAGGGCAGAAGAATGCATTTTGCCATAGGACTAATCAGAGAAATTCTGGCTCAATTGGCTCCTGGAGACTTAATTAGAATTGATCCAACTGGGTTTTCTCCAGGCTCAGAAGAATCAGTTACCTGACTTTACTCTCGCTTCCTTAGAATTTATTACCTCATTTTATTTAGACCTAACAGTTTTGACCAGCTGAAAATCATTCTATGTCATCAGGGCAAAGAAGCTATTAATTCCATTTTTAAAAGGTCAGGCTTATGTGTTATAAAGTGGAGGTGAAGCAGAGGTTAAATTGAAAATTCAGAGTGAGCCAACAGCTCATCTAATTCTATCATCTGTTTTCTTGTAGGAAACTAGAGTTCATGTGCAATTTAAGGTGAAATGGCATTATTAGAGCTAAGTCAGATCAGTTCAGAAAAGTTGGAGCAGAATACCTGAACATATGAGTTTTGGTAGGATCAAGGGTAGTACATGACCAAATGAGAAGGAAAGGCTATTAGGAATGAGGATTTTCTTGACGCAGAGGTCCGCAAGTAACATCAGAGTTGGGACAAGTGCCAATTAGCAGATGCGGTGATGAAATATCTATCATATTTTAGAAATGCTATGTCCTTGGAATCACAAAAAAACCACAACAGTATCTTGCAGTACACATAAATGGCCAGGGTTAGGTAACACAGTTTTTATCCATCCCTAATTTATACAGAGATGTATTAGGAGGACACTGACAAGTATTTTTGTCTATGTTTTTTTTCTTTCACCCAAAATTAGATGTAAAGCCCCAAACAACATTTCTTACAAAAGAGTTTTTATTAATGTTGCATCTCTCAAGGCTAAAATGCTGTTACTTCAAGTGGAGTCATACAATCATTTTTTATTGCTCTTGCTTCCATAAGGTAAGTCCAACAGAGATGGTTGCATACAAATCTCACTGACATTAGGATCAATTGTGCAAGAATTGAGAAATGGAAAGATAAAGGTACAGCAGAAAAAACGGGGACTAAATATCTCTGAGAATGCAACGGGATTATAACAGAATCTATCCACTTTCATTCACTATTTCTGATAACACCTACAAATGCAGGAAATTAAAGAAAATCCTGGGATTTCTCTAAATTAATTTCATTTCAGTTACTTTAGACTTAAAATTAAAGATGACCTTCTAACAAGAATAAGCCAGTAGTTACAATAATTAAAATAGGTACTTTTTATACTATCTCTTTAATTTGATCTGACATCTTGATTTCAGTTTTCAAAATAAAATTGTACAATATTAAACTCTCAGTTCGTTAAAATCTTCACATTCTTAATTATCAATGGGAATTTAGTGAGTCTCCATTTTCCAATATGAATACAACGGAGTAAACGCTGTCCTCTGTTACACCTGGTATTCTCTATTGGATTATGCAGTACAACTGACCACAGAATTTGACATGTTGCCCATTTTACATTCAAATACTGATTGTTTCTGTTAACTGGGAAACTTTACAGTGTAGAAAAAGGCAAACACTAAAGATCATAAGGATAATGGAAAAATGCCTTTTCTAGCCATTAGTAACAATTCCATTTTTCTACCTTAGAAATAACCATGTAAATGCTACTGTTAAAGCTCATATAGCTGTTATTGAGATCCAAACACAGATGCTACATTTTCATGTCAAGATTACAATTTGCCTCAAGTAATTTTTGACCCCTCAGAATTAGAGTTGGTGATCCATCACATCTCATTATTCAGAGTTATGGACTGTTAAATGCAGATCTGCATCCAGAGGAAGAGCAGTAGAGGGCACAAAGCTAACTAGGCACTGGGATGTAGGCACTGCCTCACTCAAAGACACCCACTTTCGGCACAGAGTTTATTGGAACGAAGCTCTCACCATCCTGAAATGCCGAGGTTGAGGAGGGCGCCAGTTATCCACCAAGGGGCGAAAAGGCTGTGTCTCACCATTCACGGAAAGGCTACGGAGCTTTGCTATCTGCAAAGAAGCAAAATAGCAACTTCAATATGGAATTAACTTGGGGCAAATCCAGGGCCTAATGGACTAGCTACCAGACCTGCTCAGGCACCAGAGGTTGGGGAGGAATCTTCCTATATAGTCACAGGAGCCACTGCATAGAGTCTTCTGCAATCAAATAGCTGGAATAGTCCCTTTTGCATCCTTACATAGTAGATTTGTGCAGTAATAGATTCATCAGTATTGCATGGCTTCTTTGGCCTACTCATGTCCATTCCCTACAAGTCCTCAGCCTAAGGAGTTCTGTCATGCACTATTGGTAGCAGCCCTGGCCTGCCCCTTGCACTGTGGAACTTCAGTAAAATTCTTTTGCTGTGAGGTTGCCCTCCAGATCAAGGATGCAAGGGGAAGAGTACACAGGGTAACATGAGTCACAGTGACACCTGATCTTCAAAATAGTTAGTTTATATTTTAAAAAGTGTATCAATTGTATATTATGAATCTGAAATACAGTGACAATTTCATCATGAACCTGAAGGCTCACTCTTTGTGACTTTCACATTTTTCACAGAACTTAAGGCCAGAAGGAAGCACTAGATCACCTTGTTTGACTTCTTGTATATTACAAGCTATTAGATTTTACCACGATCCAATATAAAAGCCCAAAGACTAAAGCATTTTAGTCCTTTAAAATGCCAGTTTTGCCGGCAGTGAGTATGCAAATGAGGCATGGATTAACATATCACCACACCTTATTTGCAGTTTTTGCGCAAAGGGTTTTTGCAGAAAAAAAAGTAGTGTGGACAGGGGGTTTTTTGCACAAAAACCCTGTTTTCCGCAAGCTCCTTATGCCTCTCCTTGAGGCATTTGCATACTCACTGCTGGCAAAACCGGCAGTGTAGACGAAGCCTTAGAGACTAAATCATGTGCCACAAGCAGAGAAAAGGAAAGCTCAAGATGTCCCCAATGCTGTTGCAGTGGCAGGGAATCGATTAGGTAAGATATGCACCAATGATCCCATCATGACAATCATATGCCATGCTGAAAAAGAAGGCAAACTCTGAACCTCCTACTCCCACAAATCTCTACCAATGTGGTTGGAGGAGAGGGGGGAGATTAATTATTTCCCAGCTCATGGGCAGCAGGTATTCTAGACAGAGGAAGGTACTGCCTCCCCGCCCACACTCTACCCTCAGAACACCTAATGTAGGCATACTGGGGATGGAGTATTGCTGCCCCTGAGCACCTGCCCTCCCTGTGCTCTGGGGCCGGAGAAGCTGGGGCAGCGCAACCTCTTCCCTCCCCGTACTCTGGAGAGCCAGGGAGGGTGGGGGAAGCGCTCTACCTGCCCTCCCCATGTTCTGGGGCAGTGCTCCACCCACCCTCCTCTTGCGCTGGGGCCAGGGAGACAGATTGGATCCCATGGGGGGTGGGCAGAAAGGGTGGGGATGGAGGTGTGTCTGGGGGTTTGCCTCCCCCAGTCCTACCATCACCCACTTCCTTTGTCTCGGCTGTTCAGTACGACCCTTGGCATGGGGAAGAAGCAAGAGTGGTTTAGCAAGGGTTTGTTGCTAGCACTTCCGAAGTAGGAACACAATTCTATTTTAGACAACACAGTCATGTGTCTCCTGTTCCATGTGAAATCTGGCTAGTGCAGTATAAAAGGAAAAGACACAGCAAGTAGTTAAAAAAACCAAATAGTCCTGTGTCACTCAAGATCATCTCATCTGAAGAGGTGGGTTGTGCTCATGAAAGCTCATGATACTATGCATATATTTTTGTTAGTCTCCACAGGACTACTTGTTGTTTTTTCTTAAGTTACCACTCATAATAATTCTGTCTGTAAAGCAGAATGACAAAGCACCACACATACTATGTATCCATTTTGTAGAAATGGTCAATGTCTTAACGAGCAGATCGGGAGGGGGGGAGCTTCCTGATGGCTGCTCAGAGAACAATTAATTCCCAAAACTTGTTACTGACAGTATTTAGAAAAAAAGAGCATTGCCTGAACATAGCAGTGGTCAGAAACGCATCAGATGAAGTTGGATCAATGATTCAACACATAGCTGTTGCATTCTAAATGAATGTCACACTAAGAATTTCACCCATTAAAGGAGGGGAGAAGAGGAAGTTGATGTTTTATTGTTGATGCAACACAGAGCTGTTCCCTAATAGCTATGCCTACACTTCAGTTCCAAATAAACCCTTCCATGATCCTCTGCAATGTAAACACCTGAGTCAGAAATGAGGCTCTAAACAGACTTCTTGTTGAGCTAGAAAAGCTGACAGAGCCAATTTGCATTTTGCATGCAAGGATAACCTTCCAAACATCTAGTACCTTTATATTTTCATACAAACAAGGAAAAATAAGAAAGTCACCTCCAGGCCAACTCTGCATTTGAATGAGCAATGTAAAACAGAGTCATACAGGAGCTTGTGTCAGCTTTTATCTTTAGGATTAAGGTTCAAGTCAGACCTGAGTTCTGGTGAGCTCCCCATACTCCACTTATTCAATTATTTTTTATAAACTAGGCAGGCAAAAAAGTATTGGGACATAATGATTGAAAATAAAGTGCTGCATGATATACTGATGCCAGTCAGGATCTATATGGAGTTTTGACGATGACTATTTTGTCTTATTTGTACTGTAGTCATAAAACACCTTAAAATCCTAGGACAAGAAAATATGTTTACATGTCTCTAATATGTACACACATAACATATCACTTACTCGTTGTTTGACTCAAATAATTTTCATGTTTCCCCTGAGTCTTGTACTGTAATTTGTGACATTCATTCAGTGTAGACGGCTGAGCACAAGAACAAGTCTAAATTACAAAACTGACCTTTACATCTGAGATCATCAAAGGGGTCATTGGTCATTTTTGTCCAATTTCAATTATGTAAGCGCCCTTATGGGTGTATTGTAGGGTGAGGAAATTTACAAAAATGTTTATTTCTGGTATGAGAATGACATGTTAAACCTGAGGCCTTCGGATTGGAGAAATGGAGGTTCCCTGAAGTTGTTGCTTTTGTTTATTCAAATTTAGCCATGAATATTTCCAGAAATGTGTTCAAAAGAATTACAAAATTTGCATTAATTTATTTGCTACTGGCTGCCACTTACAATGGGTGGTGTTATTTTATGGATACCATTTTTTAAAAAACTATTTCAGCTGTTAAAATATATGTACTATGGATTTTAGGGAGTAATCTTTTGAAATATTAAATAAAAGGAACATTATTCTATATTAAAATAACTTTATGGCTGTAAAATGACCCCCTCAAAAGTTTGGAAATGCCAAAACTGGGGTTGCATTACAAACAGTTTCTACTTAGATGACCACATGAGTGGTTCTCATTTCAATAGGTAAATTCCCATTCAGGTACTCTCAACTTCTCACTACTGTTGGAGATGAGCTACATTCATTCTGATTTATTTAGCACTGATGTCACAATCTCATTTCTATATCCTGAGGCAGTGAGTTGTAGCTCATGAAAGCTTATGCTCTAATACCCTAATAAATGTATAAGTCTTTAAAGTGCCAGTGGACTCCTTGTTGTTTTTGCTGAAACAACTAACACGCCCTGTAACACACATAGCCTATGTCTACACTAGCGGGTTCTTGTGCAAGAACTCTTGCACAAGAACACATCTACACTGCCATGTGTTTTTGCGCAAGAGCACCCATGGCAGTGTGGACGCTCTCTTGTGCAAGAAAACTCTGATGGCCATTTAATTTACACTTATTAGAAAAGATTCCTTTGTCTCGGCTGTTCAGTACGACCCTTGGCATGGGGAAGAAGCAAGAGTGGTTTAGCAAGGGTTTGTTGCTAGCACTTCCGAAGTAGGAACACAATTCTATTTTAGACAACACAGTCATGTGTCTCCTGTTCCATGTGAAATCTGGCTAGTGCAGTATAAAAGGAAAAGACACAGCAAGTAGTTAAAAAAACCAAATAGTCCTGTGTCACTCAAGATCATCTCATCTGAAGAGGTGGGTTGTGCTCATGAAAGCTCATGATACTATGCATATATTTTTGTTAGTCTCCACAGGACTACTTGTTGTTTTTTCTTAAGTTACCACTCATAATAATTCTGTCTGTAAAGCAGAATGACAAAGCACCACACATACTATGTATCCATTTTGTAGAAATGGTCAATGTCTTAACGAGCAGATCGGGAGGGGGGGAGCTTCCTGATGGCTGCTCAGAGAACAATTAATTCCCAAAACTTGTTACTGACAGTATTTAGAAAAAAAGAGCATTGCCTGAACATAGCAGTGGTCAGAAACGCATCAGATGAAGTTGGATCAATGATTCAACACATAGCTGTTGCATTCTAAATGAATGTCACACTAAGAATTTCACCCATTAAAGGAGGGGAGAAGAGGAAGTTGATGTTTTATTGTTGATGCAACACAGAGCTGTTCCCTAATAGCTATGCCTACACTTCAGTTCCAAATAAACCCTTCCATGATCCTCTGCAATGTAAACACCTGAGTCAGAAATGAGGCTCTAAACAGACTTCTTGTTGAGCTAGAAAAGCTGACAGAGCCAATTTGCATTTTGCATGCAAGGATAACCTTCCAAACATCTAGTACCTTTATATTTTCATACAAACAAGGAAAAATAAGAAAGTCACCTCCAGGCCAACTCTGCATTTGAATGAGCAATGTAAAACAGAGTCATACAGGAGCTTGTGTCAGCTTTTATCTTTAGGATTAAGGTTCAAGTCAGACCTGAGTTCTGGTGAGCTCCCCATACTCCACTTATTCAATTATTTTTTATAAAGTAGGCAGGCAAAAAAGTATTGGGACATAATGATTGAAAATAAAGTGCTGCATGATATACTGATGCCAGTCAGGATCTATATGGAGTTTTGACGATGACTATTTTGTCTTATTTGTACTGTAGTCATAAAACACCTTAAAATCCTAGGACAAGAAAATATGTTTACATGTCTCTAATATGTACACACATAACATATCACTTACTCGTTGTTTGACTCAAATAATTTTCATGTTTCCCCTGAGTCTTGTACTGTAATTTGTGACATTCATTCAGTGTAGACGGCTGAGCACAAGAACAAGTCTAAATTACAAAACTGACCTTTACATCTGAGATCATCAAAGAGGTCATTGGTCATTTTTGTCCAATTTCAATTATGTAAGCGCCCTTATGGGTGTATTGTAGGGTGAGGAAATTTACAAAAATGTTTATTTCTGGTATGAGAATGACATGTTAAACCTGAGGCCTTCGGATTGGAGAAATGGAGGTTCCCTGAAGTTGTTGCTTTTGTTTATTCAAATTTAGCCATGAATATTTCCAGAAATGTGTTCAAAAGAATTACAAAATTTGCATTAATTTATTTGCTACTGGCTGCCACTTACAATGGGTGGTGTTATTTTATGGATACCATTTTTTAAAAAACTATTTCAGCTGTTAAAATATATGTACTATGGATTTTAGGGAGTAATCTTTTGAAATAATAAATAAAAGGAACATTATTCTATATTAAAATAACTTTATGGCTGTAAAATGACCCCCTCAAAAGTTTGGAAATGCCAAAACTGGGGTTGCATTACAAACAGTTTCTACTTAGATGACCACATGAGTGGTTCTAATTTCAATAGGTAAATTCCCATTCAGGTACTCTCAACTTCTCACTACTGTTGGAGATGAGCTACATTCATTCTGATTTATTTAGCACTGATGTCACAATCTCATTTCTATATCCTGAGGCAGTGAGTTGTAGCTCATGAAAGCTTATGCTCTAATACCCTAATAAATGTATTAGTCTTTAAAGTGCCAGTGGACTCCTTGTTGTTTTTGCTGAAACAACTAACACTCCCTGTAACACACATAGCCTATGTCTACACTAGCGGGTTCTTGTGCAAGAACTCTTGCACAAGAACACATCTACACTGCCATGTGTTTTTGCGCAAGAGCACCCATGGCAGTGTGGACGCTCTCTTGTGCAAGAAAACTCTGATGGCCATTTAATTTACACTTATTAGAAAAGAGCGTAGCTCTTGCGCAAGAAGCCCTCTCTTCCCATGCTTTACTGTAAATCTTGCGCAAGAGCGGGCGGGCACTGTGGATGTTCTGTGGAAGAATGGCCATTCTTGTGCAAGAACCTGCCAGTGTAGACATAGCCCTAATGTGTAATGAATGAGACAGTAGACTACTAAACTTTAATTAGGTTGGTGTTTGGGAAGTGCAAGCTTTAGGTTTTGCAAGAACCTATGACAATAACTTGTGTGAGCCACCTCCAGCTCTATTATCTCCTACAAGCTGGGGTTAAAGTAAAGGGGAGAGGAGAGAAAAAGGAAAATTGAGGGAAAACTACCCCTTTTCTTCAGCTGGTGTGTGAGAAATACTGCTCCTGTTTCAATCTACAATAGCGATGATTACAATCAGTCCCTTCCACATTGGTAGCCACAAACCCCTTTCTTTTACTCTCTGATCACCTCCTGCTTCCCTGTGTCCCCTTCTATACTTTCCCAGCCTGTTAGAATCTCACTGATTTATGCTCTACATGGCCACTGGTGACCTGACCCTGCCCAGTGACATGGTCTAAGAAGTTAGGAGCCAGAATCAACAATTTTCCAGATGTGGAGAGTAATGTTGTCACTAATCTTTTCTAGCCATGGGTGGATATTTTTCCATCCATGTGCAGAATAAATGTTTTATGTGCACCAAGGCATGTGTGAATGTGCACCACCAGTAGAAACAAAAAACCTAGCTGTGGGGGCTCTGCTAATCAACTGGGCAGCATGTGAATCTCTCCTGAGCAGCCACACAATTGCAGTTTTCAGGGGACACTGGTGGAGAGGAACTAGCATGAGTGGCTAGGTTCACAGGGTATATCTACACTGCAGCTGGGAGTGTCTCTCCCACCTGGATAGGTAGACTCACAGCTGTGTGGACACTGTGGCACGAGTGGAGGCTTGAGCAGGCCACCCAAGTTCAGACCCACCCTAACCCCTGAGTCCAAGTCTGAGGCTCTGCCAGTGTTAAAGCATTTGCACAGCTCTTGTTAGCCTGCTAGTGTGAGCCCTGTGAGCCCTATCTTCAGGGCTGGGAGATTCACTTCCCACTGCCATGTAGGCTCATCCTCAGAGGTGTAGAGTCATGTGCAGTTCTTTTAAGGGGCCCAATAGTGTTTCTACTGATGCCAACTGACAAGGTTATTAACTGAAGGGCCCGATCCTGAAGTTCAGTTTTTATTCTATTTTAACAGTCTTTACTCATGCAGTTTCCCATGGACTCCAGTGGGATTTTTCCTTATAGAAAGGGTAATGTTGGGACATGGCATATGAGTAAATAATCCAAAACTATGAGAGAACTGTGACAATGAGGAAATTAACATCCAACTGAAGTTTACCTGGTCTGGGCTGACAATAATAGGTTCCCTCAAAAGAATCCAGGTAACACACTCATCACAAGGAGGTTCAGTGAAGGAGCCATGGTAGGTCCAATAGTCCCAAGATTTAGGGAAAAGAATTGATGGATCAAAGTTTGAAAAGGGAGCCTCTTTCCCCTTAAATAAATAAAACAGAAATCTCTTTAACAACACTAGTGAAGACACCAATCTTAATTAAATAGAGAGTCACATTTGCGTGGAAGAATGAAATGTCCAACAACATGAAAGAGGTGGATTTTATCCTTTCAAACATTTAACTTACTTTTCCAGAAATGACCTCTAGCCCAAGGCTGAAATTTCCCCCCAAAATAAAATAAGATGCTCTTTATCAAAGTGCTCACTGATATAATTAAGTGTTGTAACTTCTCATAAACTCATGTCGCTATAATGCACTGTTACCTAACAATTGTGACTATGCACAAAATATTCATGTCAAACGTACTAGCCCATCCTATAATTACATATGTAGGTAGCTTTGTTTAGATTTATACTTTGCCAAGAAAAATAAGTATAATAAATAAAATTCAAGATGCTGTGCATTTATTTTGATTCCTTAGCTCATGCTTTCTCTGATTTTCTTAAACCGTTTCTGTTTCAATATAGTTATGGCCCAGTTTGGGACTATTGTGATATATATCACAGTGGATTCCACTATCCAAAATTGAACATTTATATTTCCATTGTTACTAAAACAAGATTTAAAATGTGATAGGCAGCAATGTCCCCTCTAATTTTTTCCATCCATTTGCAGAGTAAATTTTGTTAGTTGTACCAAGGCATGTGCAGATGTGCACCACCAGTAGAAACACATACTGCTGACTGTGGGCACTCTGCTCATCAGCTGGGTAGCACTTGAATATTTCCTAGGTGGCCACCCAAGTGCTCAGTTTTACAGGGAACACTGATAGGCAGTCTCAATTGCCACGAAATGGGGATTCTGTCACTGTTGTCTTTTTAAACATAATATTTTTCAGTGTTCAATCTCTTCACTTAGGGTATGTCTACACTACCACCCTAGTTCGAACTAGGGTGGTAGTGTAGACATACCCTAAGTGAAGAGATTGAACACTGAAAAATATTATGTTTAAAAAGACAACAGTGACAGAATCCCCATTTCGTGGCAATTGAGACTGCCTATCAGTGTTCCCTGTAAAACTGAGCACTTGGGTGGCCACCTAGGAAATATTCAAGTGCTACCCAGCTGATGAGCAGATGGGAATTCTAAATATATAATGGGACAAGTATAGGACAAGGCCCTTAGATCATTAATTATTTAAATAAATAGATTTAGATTTTGCAATGATTGTGGTTGCTGATATGAATAAGAGCTAGTTAATGCCTACTACGCCCACTGGCATGTAGGGCAGCAATGAAGGTTCTCCATTTTTGTTTGTCTTTAACCACTTTCTCCAGTTTGTCCCAGTTGTAATTCATTCTCTTCATGTCTGCCTCAACAGTATGCTGCCATGTTGTCTTGGGCCTCCCACATTTCTGTCATCCTTCAGGCGTCCAGTGAAGTGGCGTCTGCCTCCCTTCTCATCATGTGCCCTATCCATCTCCAGCGTCTTCTCATAACGATAGTGGTCATGTCCTCTTGGTGGCATCTCAGGAGCATGTCGTGGTTAGAGATTGTTTTCGGCCAAAAGATGTGAAGTATCTTACGAAGGCTGGTGGTATGAAAGGATGAGAGCTTGGCACGGTCGCACTCTGTCATCCGCCAGCACTCTGAGCCATATAGTAGTGTTGATATGACACAGCTCTGGTACAGCTTAAGCTTGATGTGGACACTGTATTGTGTAGATTTCCATACATTGTTTATACTCCCGAGGACATCTCTGGCCTTACTTAAGTCTGCTCTGGATGTCTTTCTTGGTGCCTCCATCATGGCGGATGATGCTGCCTAAGTATGTAAAGCTGTCTGTGCTGGGTAAGTCTGCATCATGTATCTTGATTGGTGCTGGTGAATCTATATTGAGAATCATAATCTCTGTTTTATTCTGGCTAACTCTTAGTCCAATCTGGTATCCAAAGGTGCATAGACATTGTGTCTTTTCCTGCATGTGTTGATGGGTATGGGAAAGCAATGCAAGGTTGTCCGCAAAGTCAGTGTCTTCCAATGCGGAAAAAGGTGTCCATCTGATACCCATTGATGCATCTGCTGTTGTTCTCCACATCACCCAGTCAATCACCATAGTGGAGACATGACGCATCCCTATCTAACCCCGGTCTTAACTTCGAAAGACAGATTGCAGTATCCCACGCTACATGTGAAATTGGTGTAAAAACTCTTAATGAGCTGGACCACTTGTAGAGGGATTCCGTAGGCTCTCAGAATGTGTCAAAGGCTCTCTCTGTATGCTGTCTAAAGCCTTCTCAAAGTCAACAAAGTTTATGTACAATTGTCTCTGACACTCTGTGCACTGCTCTATGATGTTTCTCAGGGTGAAAATCTGATCTATACATCCTCTTCCCTTGTGAAATGGATTCCCCCCAATGGATCACTACCTTGTCATGCTTGGAGGGCTTGTGTGTCTCAGTTACCCCTAGAGATATGTCGGCGGGGGCCTCTTGCTCCTGGTAGGATCACCCATGCTGGACAGGTAGAAGGATACAGACCAGACTAAGTGTGATTCACTGGTCCTCCAGGTTGGGGGTTCAGCTCGGGCTAACAACCCTGACCTAGAAAAAAAATTGTTATGGAAACAGCAACGAAGAATTCTCCTACAACTTTGTGCAATGTCCTCTCTGGGGACCTGTATGACTGACCGTAGTGAAAGACGTGAGGAAGCTACTGCCACAATGATGGGCACCAAGACAAAGACCAGAATTGGATTCTGAAATGTACAAACCATGTACGATATTGGCAAGTTAGCACAAATAGTCTCTGAAATGAGACGATACAATCTACACGTCCTTGGTGTTAGTGAGAATAGATGGACAGAATCAGGGAGACTGAAGACTTCTGCAGGAGAAACAGTGCTTTACTCTGGAACAGATGATGACCAGCATCATGAGGGAGTGGCCATCATCCTTAAGAAGGGGATTGAGAAATGTTTGCTACAGTGGAAACCTGTCCACAGCAGATTGATGAGGGTCAGACTCTGAGAAATGTTTGCTACATTGGAAACCTGTCCACAGCAGATTGATGAGGGTCAGACTGAAAGGAAGACAAGCGAACATCACCTTGATCCAGGTTTATGCTCCAACCAATGACAATGGTGAAGAAATTAAAGACATCTTTTATGAGCAGCTTCAGGAAGAAGTGGAGTCTACACCACACCATGATCTTACCATCATCATGGGTGATCTGAATGCCTACGTGGGAAATGACAACACACACTATAACAGGGCCATAGGCAGACATGGGTGTAGCACCATGAATGATGATGGTGAGAGACTTGTAGGGTTTTGTTCCGTCAACAATCTGGTCATTGGAGGGACTCTCTTCCCACATCGCAACATTCACAAGCTGACTTAGTTTTCACCAAATGGCAGAGACAAGAACCAGATTGACCATCTGATGATCAACGGTACATGGAGATGCTGCTTGCAAGATATGAAAGTGAGGAGAGGAGCAGATGTTGGTAGTGATCACCACTTAGTGATGGCACTTGTGAAACTTAAGCTGCAAAGAACAGGTATTGAGATATCCATACAAAGACACTTCAGTGTTGAAAAGCTACGATATGTCAGCGCAAAGACTGCCTTCACCATTCAACTGAGGAACAGATTCCAAAATCTGCAAGATTTAAGAGATGACGTATATACCAGTATCAGATAAAATCAACATGGCATGGGAACAGATTGCATCTGTCTACACAAAGAGCAGCAAGGCCTGTCTGGGTTTCAAGGATAGGAAGAAGAGGAAAGAATGGATTAAGCCTGATGCATGGAAAGCCATTGAAGAGAGATGGAACATAAAGAAGAGACTGGCAGACGCCAAATCAGCCAGAATTCAAGAAAGATACAAGCAGAATTACAGAGAGGCAAATCGAAAAGTAAAGAAGTTAGTGAGGGTAGACAAACAAGCTTTCATGGAGGACCTTTCAACAAAAGCTGAAGATGCAGCTAATCAAGGGGAGCAAGGAAACATGCACAGAGTCACTACGCTTGTTTGTGGCAGGTATCATGGCAGGACAAGCGCTCTCATTAAAGACAAACAAGGGCAGTTTGTCAACAGATAAAAAGCAAGAAGCACACTGCACAGAACATTTCAGAGAGGTTCTGCATAGACCACCATCTGAAGAAGAAGTGGACATCCAGGAAGCTGAAGAGGACCTTGATATTAATATTGATCCACCAGAGAAAGAAGAAATCAGTGCAGCCATCAGCTCCCTGAAAAATGGCAAAGCTCCAGGACCTGACAACCTGGACGCAGAGTTTTTTAAAGCAGACCCAGAACTTGCAGCCACCATTCTCCAACCACTGTTTGTAGCAATTTAGGAAGGACAACGGATATCCAAGGACAGGACCAAACAAGTCATCATCAAGATTCCTAAGAAAGAAGCCCTCAGCCATTGCAACAATTGGTGTGGGACCCTTCTATCCGTACCCAGCAAGATCCTAGCCAAGGTCATCATCCAGTGGATCTCAGATGCTGTTGACAAGTCTCTGAGGAAAGAACAAGCCGGATTTCGCAAGGGAAGAGGATGTATAGACCAGATTTTCACAAAGAAACATCATAGAGCAGTGCACAGAGTGGCAGAGACAGTTGTACATAAACTTTGATTTGAATGAGATCTGCCAGGCAATTAATTGATCTAAAGCCCACGGAAGTCCGTGGGGCGGGGGGACTCTCAGGGAAGTGAGGGGAGAAAAATAAAGATATTTCAGGCTATAGACACCAGTGTGCTCTGGCTCCTCTGTTTTATTGGAACAGTGCAAAGCAGCCAGAGCAAACTATTGAATCTGGTTTTCACTATTGCAGGTCTGCAGCTACTCAGTCTATCAGAATAAAAACTGTTCTGTTACCTTTGTTTTAATACCATTTATTTCTTCAAGAATTCTTTTCATCTCTGGCTTGGGAGTTTCTCCTACCTGTAATACAGGAAACAAGAGTTGAACAGTAGTAACGACGGCTACTTTTTTCATCATTATAGGTTACAAATGCATGAAAAATTGAACTTCACCCATCCCATCTGTCAGTTTAATTAGCAATATTCTCAAAGCATCTTTTATTGAATAACAACAAAATGTTGCACCTGTTGGGAGGAAACACCCTGAACAATGTAAGAATCAAGTAATTGCTCGATTTTTGATTATAGTAGTATTTGCTAAAACAACATACAAGGCTCAATCATGCTCCATGAAGTGGCTTGTATGACTCCCATTTATTTAAGTGGGTGCACGGTGGGCTTACAGTATTGACTATAATTTGATGCAAAAGAAGAATTTCTCCAAATTAGCAGTAAATTAGTTTCACAACACACATAATTTTTACTTATAACAAAAAGAAAATGTATAGTTTTTTAAAGGGGAGGGTGAGGGAGCTAGAGGTTTTCTGATAGCTGCAGTTCCCAACATACTCTGAGGAAAGAAGAGGACAGCTTGCAGGAAACTCTTGAGATAAGCATCAGGTTGTTTCTTCCTCTGTAACCCTGGGCTCAGGGGAAGGAAGGAGAGTGGGTGTCTGGGCTATTGGGGGCCATATCTAGGCTCTGGGTGCAGAGAGATTGTAGGTGTCTAGCTGCCAGGCTGTGCTCTGGGGAGAGAAAGGGGGCCAGAGAAACAGAAACTTGGCTGTAATAGGGTTTTCTTAAATCTCTACTCCTGTGGGAATTGTTGTGTATGTCTGTATTTGTACAGACATGTGTTCTCAGAGGTATTCTGAAATAAATTACCAATGTAACCGAAACTGACATGATAATGTGGTGTTATTTTGACAAATAAAATTTGCAGAATTTTATAAGATTGTGCACAGAATTTTTAATGTTTTGATACAGAATGCCCCCAGGAGGAAATAGTCCAAAGACAGAACAAAGACATCTACTTACTTGCAGAAAAATGCCCAAAATAGCCACACCATCATAATTTCTCAAAGCTTCAGCATAATTACTGTATTTTGAATACCAATGTACCAAATGAAGCTGCAACCAAACAAAATTAAATGTTAATAAATACTATTCTGCAATAACCAGCCACCAAGGGCCTAAACCTGCATTCTTTCTGCATCCTATTGAAAGATGTTTGGGTGTATTAATATGTCCTGAACCTCCCACAGCTCTGCCACGTGCGTGTGCTTTTTGTAGCAATTGCTTGTCAGCTATTTTGGTTTTAAATAAAGTGTAAAAATTAAAATAGGGAGACTGCACAAAATATTGGAAAACTCACTCATAATTAATCAGATCATATAATAGAGGAGATGCTTAACCATACATATAAATATGCATATGTACAATATATGAGGTAGCCACTGATTTATTTAATCTCAACTGGATTCTCAGGTTAATGAAATTCTAAAAGAAGATTACTATTTCATTTGTGCTTTATAAATTATTAGTCTGTAGCTGTCTGTTCTACTCCCAAGCCTGCAGTAGCAGGGAATGGACAAGGTGAGCCCATAATTATTTCCCAGTTCTACTTTCTACAATACTATATTTTCAGGATTTGTTTCAACATTTATTTATCCTTCCAGAGGACTCCAGACTACCTATATAATTCCTAATATCACTGTGGTATTGGGACACATCTTTACGAAAGCTGGATAAGTAACTGATTTTGCAGCTCAGGAGCAACTCCAAAAAGTATTTTTTTTAAACTGATTTGAGTCAAACCAAATGTGAATTTTAGGTTAATTAAAAGAGTGTGTTTTGGTCTGTTCTAAAGCAGGGATTTACAGCCAGGTCTTCCATAACCCAAGAAAGTTCCCTAACTGCTGAGGGGAGAGGTAGATATGTTGGAGGGCAGAGATAGGGTCCAGAGCGACCTAGATAGATTAGAGGATTGGGCCAAAAGGTTGATGAGGTTCAACACGAACAAGTGCAGAGTCCTGCACTTGGGACAGAAGAATCCCAAGCATTGTTATAGGCTGGGGACTGACTGGTTAAGTTGCAGTTCAGAAGAAAAAGACCTGGGGATTACAATGGATGAGAAGCTGGATATTAGTCAATGGTGTGCCCTTGTAACCAAGAAGGCTAATGGCATATTGGGGTGCATTAGGAGGAGCATTTCCAGCAGACCTAGAGAAGTTATTATTCCCCTTTATTAGGCACTGGTGAGGCACCATCTGGAGTATTGCATCCAGCTTTGGGTCCCCCACTACTGAAAGAATGTGGACGCATTGGAGAGGGTCCAGCGGAGGGCAACCAAAATGATTAGAGGACTGGAGCACATGACTAATGAGGAAATGCTGATGGATTTGGGTTTATTTAGTCTGCAGAAGAGAAGAGTGAGGGGGGATTTGATAGCAGCCTTCAACTTCCTGAAGGGAGGTTCCAAAGAAGATGGAGAGAGGCTGTTCTTGGTAGTGATGGATGGCAGAATAAGGAGCAATGGTCTCAAGTTGCAGCATGGGAGGTCTAGGTTGGATATTAGGAAAAACTATTTCACTAGGAGGGTGGGAAAGCCCTGGAATGAGTTACCTAGAGAGATGATGGAATCTCCATCCCTAGAGGTTTTTAAGTCCCAGCATGACAAAGCCCTGGCTGGGATGATTTAGTTGGGATTGGTCCTGCTTTAGGACTAGATGACCTCTAGGGGTCTCTTTCAGCGCTATGATTCTATGATTCTATGCTGGGCTAATGGTTATAGAGGCAAAGTAAACACACACTACCACCCACCTTCTTTTTGCCATTCTGTGATTGATCAAAAGTATTTGTGTTAAATTTATAAATAGTTTCATGTCACTTGAAGCTTCATCTTTGGTTGAAATTATTCATCCAAACAAGTTCACTCAGCTCTAAACTTCATATAAAATATATATGGTATCATTGCAATCCAATAATCTGATTAAATTTAACATTGTGATTTTTATATTAACAAAGAATACCAAAAAACACTATTCAATTTACCTAGGGTCATGGTGGATTCTCTGTTATTGACAATTTTAAAAATAAGATTGGACTCGTTTTCTAAAAGATATGATGAGGTTCACACAGGAATTATTTTTGGAAATTCTCTGGCTTTTATTAAACAATGGGTCTGACTTCACTACATGATCACAATGGTCCCTTCTGACATTGGAATCTATGAATCAATGAATCGCTCTCCCTGGATGTGGATATAGTAGATTGCTTAGTTTACGTTTCTGTTGGTGCATCACGTTATTATAAAAGCAGCACAGACCAAGGCCTTCAACTGAACTCTCACAAAGCATCTGTCACTACGTATGTTCTTCTACTTCGTACAGGTTGAACATCCCAAAATCATGACCCTCTGGTTCAGCAATATCTGTGGTCTGGTCTGGCCAGGAGCCCAGTAGCAGGAGAGCTAGCAGCTGGGAGCCCTCCTAGACTGGGAGCCTGACAGGACTGGCAGCAGCAGGGCTGGGCCTGGGTTGGAGCCCCAGCAGTGGAACCTCAGTAGCGGAGCTGGGGCTGAGACCACAACAGCCTGGCAGGTGACCTAAGGCCACGGGAGCCTGGCTGGAGAGCTGGGGCCAAGGCAGTGCAGCAGAAGGTCCAGTTAGGGCCAGCAGTAGGGAGGGGCAGTTGGCTGGGGTGGGGAGGCAGTGGCAGGGGACCTCCCCTGGTCTGGCAAATTCCCTCATTCAGGACCAGCCAGATTCTGAGGATGCCGGATCAAGGAGGTCCAACCTTTACGAAGACCTAGTAGTCAAATCTTAGTCCTGAAAACAAAAGGAAACGGAAAAGCCCCTTGCTTGGTGGAACACACCAGGAGTTTGAAGAGATAGAATTTGCCCATTTAGCCTGCAACTACGAAGTAGCATACCCGTGCAGTTTGATCATGGGAGGTATTACTCAACATAGGGAGGACAGAAAAATCCATTCATGATCCCTACCACAAGGTTTTGGGCCAGTGGATCTATTCTATGCATCTGGTCTGCCAACATTTCTCCATATGGCAAGCAGTTCAGAACCACCATAAACTCGCTACCATGGCATGTATAGAGGTTTCAAAGTGGGAATACTTGGAGGCTGCAGCAAAGCTTCTCATACAGAGAAAACATGGTATTTCCATAGTAGTTTGAACCTTGAATTCCCAAGTGAGATGTGGATAGATGTTATTAATTGGTATTTGAGTATAGGTTGAACCTCTCTGGTCCAGCAGTATCCATGGTCTGGCAGGACCACAGATGTTGGTCCCTGGTGGCTGGGAGAGCAGTCTGGCTGGGAGTCAGGCAGCTGGAGGGCCTGTGACAGGGAGCCTGATGGCCAAGGCCTGCAGTAAAACTTTGCTGGTGGTCCAGGGACAGGGAGCCTGGAAGCCGGAGGGTGACCACAGAACCTGACTGGCGGCCAGGAAGGGAGCCTGGCCAGCAACCCAGAGGAAGCAAGCCTGGCATCTGGGGCCAGCAATGGAGCCCTGCTGTCAGCCTGGGGACAGGGAGCCTAGTGGCTTGGTAGCAGGGAGCAAGTAGTGGTTGGGACAAGCAGCAGAGCCAGGCCAGCAGCCGGGGCCAGCAGCAGAGCTGGGCTGGTAGACAGGGCTAGCAGCAGAGTTGGGCCGGTGGTCGGGGCTGGCAGCAGAGCCAGGTCAGCTGCCAGAAGGGGGAGCCTGACCAGCAGCCTGCAGGAATGGAGTCCAGTGGCTGAATCTAGCAGTGGAGTCAGCTTCCAGGAGGTGAGCCTGGCCAGGAGGCTGGCAGAGCCCCAGGAGAGCCTGGAAGCTGGTAGCAGAGTGGCTGGAATTGACCTCCTCTGGTCCAGCAAACTCCCTTCTTCAGGACCAGTCAGGAAGGTCCAACCTGTATTAGGAAGAACTTAGGCACTCAGAATACACTCAGAGTCAAATCAAGCCATTAACTTGTTTAGTCCATAATACAGTAAAATCTATTTTTGACAACAGACTGATAGATTTAAAAACTCAGATATTTAGAATTGGAAGTTATTCTCCACCACAATGCATCAGTTTTAAAGTACATACAGTTTTGGACTTCAGATGATTTAAATGGCCCTTAACAAGCTTCATCAGTGAAAATACATCATGGGACTATAATTTTGAGTGTATTTAGGCCAATGCCAGAATCTATTAATGATACTATATAAATAAAACTAGTAAGACATGATAATTTTACAAGTTTGACAAAAACAAAACACTTTGCCACAAAAAGCTGTGTTCGCTGCAAAATGGTGAATTTCAGGCACAGGCATATTTATAAAAAATTACAATCTTACCCCAGGAGCAGGGGTTTGTATTTTTGATGCAAAGAGCTGTGTTTATCATCAGAAATGATTCACAGAGGTTCACATTTTTGACGAGTGACTGAAATAATAGGTTCCATACATGTACCAATAAATATAAATAAATACTTGTTCGTGTTGTCCTGCTGCACAATAATTCCAAATTTCAGTTTGTGCCATATACTGATACATAAAAAATGGGTCCTACCTCTGCTGCATATTTCACTCCATCCACATTGTGCTCAGAGCCATGGTCATTAGAAGAACCCCAATGAAAGTGAAGTTGACGCAGTCTGTAGGTACCTGGGAGTGGTCCACTTCTCAGCACTGTAATTGATAATTCACATCACTATTTGGCTCCGAATTTTTTCAGAAAGCTTTGCTTCAAAAGAAAGGTGCATGTATTTACCAAAAAGGAGTCAACACTTGGAAGGTACTGAACGCGTTCTGCAAATTCAAATGATTTCAGTGGGAGATGAAGGAACTCAGCACCTTGCATCACTCGGTCTATATCCTCCTATAGCGAGGATACATAGGACTATTTGATTACATAGGTATAGACAAGAGGTCAAACCACAAAATGTGATGCCAGTTATAGAACATGTTCCTTTCAAGTCACAGCAACATATATTGCAGTTTGGGGATGAAACATGCTAAGAATGGCCCACTGTCCTCTAGCAAATATACTGCTGAGGAATTAACACAACTATGCTGAGCATTTGATGGGAATCTCTCTTGTGAAACTTGCCCTTGAATAGTCATGCAGTACTACAGGTGTTGTAAAAGTGTCATGAAGTACTACCAGCCTTGCCAAAGCTTTTTGAATTAATATATTACAATCAGGGTATGTCTACACTAGCCCCTAGATCGATCTAGGGAGGCTAATGAGGGCGACCGAAATTGCAAATGAAGCGCGGGATTTAAATATCCCGTGCTTGATTTGCATGTTCTCGGCCGGTCGCCATTTTAGAAATTGACTAGCCCGAAGTAACTGCCTGCGTCTACACACGGCAGTGAAACGGGATTCCAAAATAAAGGCCTAACTTGAATTAGCTGGTATTTCTCCTGCAATGAAGTTAGTCAGCATAATCAGTTGCCTCTGGGAGAAGTCTATTTCCTAAAGAAAGGGCAAAAGAAAAAGTAAAAATACAGGCAGTCCCCGGGTTACGTACAAGATAGGGACTGTAGGTTTGTTCTTAAGTTGAATTTGTATGTAAGTCGGAACTGGTACATATTGTAGGGGAAACTCTAGCCAAACATTTCTCCAGAGCTCAGTTTTATTCTCCCACACCTCACTTCCCTCAGCCCTTTATTCTCAAGCTGAAGTGTCTGCTGAGAAAAGCCGCTCCACCTCTCCCTGGTCTGCTGGGCGGGGGGAGGGGGACGCGCTAGCTTCGCATCTCCCTAGTCTGCTGGGGGGAAGTAGCTAGTGCGGGGGTGCCTCACCCCGGTTGT